TATACTAGTTAGCTTGCACGTGCAATGCACGTGGTAAAAATTTTAATATTATTTTTAATTATAATTTTATTTATTGAAAGATTTGTTATAAATTTAATGAATGTACACAATATATATGAACATAAGCTTAAAATTAAAAATGTTTGAATAATATGTTTATATTTAAGGATCAATTATGCGATATTGGAGTGGTTGTATGTACAAGTTGATTGATCAATCAAATACAATAACAAGAATATATGTAAAAGTAATGTTTGAAGATGTGGATTTAAATCCAAGCAAAATATTCTGAACTTTGTGTTTCCCTTTAGATTGATGAATTATATCGGTCATGAAGTTAACCCTTGGAAATAGATTGATAAAAACATGAACTTCCCTGTAGATAAATTTAAATCATAGTTAATTACTTAATTGTATACTCTACATAAGGTAGTACTCTATTTGAACGAAAATCAAATTCTACAGATACCATGACATATAACAAAAAGCATCATATTGTTTAGTTTATTTTCACATGAACTTGTACCTGAGGATTCATCCAAAACAAAGTTAGACAAACAACATAAAATTTTTTTCTTTCCTACTCATGTGAATATCCCAACCATAACCATGCTCATTTGCAATGCAATTGAACGATAGGAATTCATTGATCACCTAACCTTGCAATCATGCAATACTCAGCTTGTAATTTTATGAAACACTTAAAAGTTCAAAAGGACATAATTATTATATAAAACTATATCTCATTGACTCCACTCTCTCCAAAACACACATTTACATTTTCGAGTAATAACTGACAGGATCTCTAGCAGTGGTTTTTTCATCAGGTTCACCCAAAGAATTCTCACGATCAAACCGTCCAGCTCTCCTTAAAGGTTGGTCAATTGCATTTTGTTTGTTTGTTGCTCCGCTAACAAGAACATAACCAAGCTTCTTCTCAGATGTTTTTGGGAATCATCAGAAGACTGGGTGTGATGTTATACATCCATGCAAGTCATATGTTGTGTTACTATCCGCCGTTCCATCTCCCTTTGCAGGTTTTCTCGCTTGGAAGCAATTGCATCTATCTCATCAATGAATTACTTTATTTTGAAACACGTACAACAATAATGTGCAAACTTAAAATAAATTGATACTTGAGTCAAAATAAGGTTCATTTGATCTTCTCAGATGCTTAAGTTAACTAAGTTAGTGACCTATTCATCATTTTATTAAAATCCCAAGACAGAAGTACTTACAGCTCTATCACAGGCCTGAGGAAAGTAGCCGTTTTTTCCAGACTATCGAGATTTTCCAGTGACTGCACGTCAGCAATAGGTATCATGTAAAAGAATACCAGAGCGAACACAGATAATGATATAAGCAGTTTTCTGATGCTGAGAGAAACAAATGGTATAGCTAGATTCTTCCAGTAAACATCGCGTGGCTCTGGTGCCCAGTAAGTTAACCAGCGTGTTGGGTTCCTACTTTGCTGAGTTTGAGCACAAATAGCAGCCAGCCCATCTCGAGTCAAATGAAACAAATGCTACAGGCATGATAGACTTTGGATCTTTGAGAATTATCTGACGCTCTGCTACTAACTGAACCAAAAGACAAAATAAAAGTTCAGAACAAAGCTGGAAATTAGTTTTTTTCATATGAAAATGCATCTATTAAAGGCTCAGGGTTAATCAATATGATGATGTACCTTACTCTCTCATTAACATCCATACATTAATACCATGTCTGAAGTGATGCAGGAAACTTCTTAGGAAATACAATTGACTTACGTATTTGTCAATTTCCTAGATGCTTTCACTATAGTAGTCAATTGCATCCGTTCTTACACCACAAAGCCCAAGAAATCCTTTTTGACATACAAAAGAATCAGATGGATCAGTAGTAAGATTAGAAGAACTATCATGGTTAGAGGAAGATCCTCTGGATCATGGCTTTTCTCGATGAAACAGGTTTTAAGTTAAGGAACCTTTACTATATTATTGTTAAATGTGTTTGATTGGAATAATTGATAACTGATTTGTCATATATGTCATCAAAAACAGTTCAACCAATAGTTTAACACGTTAGAAATAATTATTGACTTAGTTTTCTACATGCCAAAATAGTTCTCCTCCTGTCATATTATTACATATTAAAGATTACATATTTAATATTTTAACCAATACACAATATTAAACACACACTTCAACTTCTTTGTTAAATGTGTAAAACTATATCTCAACTGTTAATTAAAGATTACATATCATTAGCCCATGACCAATACACAATACTTATTAAAGATTACCACTCTAAATTATTAAAGTTTACATATTAAATATTTCAGTAAGTTAGTGCTGTTTTAAGGAATTGGTAGCTGTTCCAGTACACAAACAGTTGAGAAATGGAATTTTACTAAATAATTCAAGTGCAAAATAACACGTAGGGAATTGTCAATAAGGGAAGAGAAATATTATATTTATAAACACTATAAGGATAGTAAACTTCTCATGAGAAACATCTATTACCTGGTGGCCAAGGTAGTGTTCAGGATGGTTCTGGTGAAAAAACTGATCCACGCTTTTCGATATAGATTGCCCAGAAACATGTGGGTTATTTCTGACAACTACCTGTAAATAGATAAATGAACAAACTAAATCATAAATTTGAAGTAGTAAGTGACTACCGTAAATGATTAACTTGTACAAAGGTGCAACATGAGATCAAACTTATGTTTCAACATTTCAAGTCAAATCATAGTAGATATAGTTAGATCAAGTTGAACTTATTTTAACCATTGGATGACGATCACTCAACAAGTGGCAAACTCATACTTACAGTGTACTTAACCCGTACTTACAGTGAACTGAGCAGCACGACGATATTGATCTTCTAGAAAATGCAATCTCATGAAGGTTATATGTCCATACTCCTTGTAAAGGACGTAGCAAGTCCATATGGTGAACAATTATGCCATTGACAGGTGAAACCATAACCTAAATTATAACCAAAATAATTATATTAAGTCCATATTAGTAATTAAATTGGAAATGGAAAGTAATTGGAATTAAAACAAATAAACTGGCACATAAAGCAAGTAAGACAGGGATATAACTTAGATACTCCGTTTTGATGAACCTTTTTTCTAGTCAAAGTAAGGAAATTATCTGTGAATTTTGAGACTTGCCACCGCATGCCAAATTGTGAGCAGAATAATAAAAAAATCATGAAAGAAAAACAAAGAAGACAATAATTTAAGAGTGGCTATTATTCTAGATAGAATTATTTACTTTAGAAAAGCAACTTACCGTTGAGAACCCTCCGTAACATTTGAAATTGAGAGCTTATCAATGCCACTGAAAACTATGTCTTTGTTAATATTTTTCAATGTCCCATCTTATACATTCACCGGAATAAGAACTAACAGAGCTAGGATTGTCATTGGTACAAAGATCTTCAAGCTGAAAAATTAAAATTTAAGTTAATACTGCAACTACCTTTACCATCGTTAAAAAAACAAAATAATAATAATAATAATAATAAAATTGTATGTGTTCTTTTGAAGCAAGATGTGCTGCAGAATATATGACTAATGAACTCAGATCTCGAAACTTCTTAGTTCTAGATTAGCCGAAAGGCCTTCTATGAGACCCGAACAGACTGCCATACTAACCAGGCTTTAAATGTAATAGTCATAAAATCATGAGGTAAGCAAATGCATTGTTTTATCTCAGAAATCAATCGTTTTATCGCCGTAAAAGGTATCAATCTGGTGAAGTGCATCATTCATCACCAGCATTACCCAATTGCT